ATCAGTTGCAGCTCCTCTTTGCAACAGACAGCGATTTCTTTAGGATTTTCAGTTTAGTTTCTTTTACCATTATTTGTTTTATTCATCTTAGAGGTATTCCATGTTCCTTGCAGAAAACAATGAAAGTGAGAATATAGTTGCTATTAAGGTCTTAGTGTATATTTCAGATTTTTCTGTATTTCAGTATAAATACAGCTGCAAATAAATATGGACTTTTTATTACTCTTGTAGGATGATGCTTTATATGCTCTTCAGTAACCAGTTTTTAATAGAGCATACCTTTCAACATCAGTAAATATGGATCTAGTCTGTCATTTTTTTAATGGTTTATTGTTACATGAATGTACTACAGTTTCTTTAGGCATTGCTCTTAAGGGATACTTAGGCAGTTTCCAACTTTTTGCTACGATATTCAATGCCAGGTTCTGATGATGACTGTACTAAATCTCTAAGGGCCTGCAGCACAAGTGGGGCAGCCACATAGCACCGTTGGCCTCTTCCCCTCCCTGAGCCTGGCTGTGTTTCCCCACCTGTTCCTGCTTCTTTAATATGCCCCTGGCTTTGGTTTTAAGCACTCTGCCATCCTCCAGGAGGGGAGAGGAGTTGGGCTGTCTCAGAGGTGTATTTCTTAAAGTTTACGGAAGTGATGATGGGAAAACAAGCATATTTTATAACAGTTGATGTTTCAAGAAGGATGCCTCTCGTTTGAACGTCACCAGATAAAATAGTAAAAACAAAAAAAGAAAGGAGACCTCATGAGTCACTGGAGAGGGGGATGCCTTGATTGCTGTGATAGCGGCAATAGTAATAATAATATAAAAATGGTAACAACAGCGAAAACAGTCTGTGTGCCAAAGAAATTGCAAACACATTACCTGCACATCTGGCCTCACTCTTGCATATTCCAATAAATATATTATTATTACTATTATTCAATTTTTATTTTTATTTTGTATTCTCAAGCTTTGAAGAATCAAAAGCTTTTGTGTTCCCTAGCCAGGGTTATATTTTTGTTTTTTATGAAACACCCATGGCCTCCTGTTCTGCATAAGATTAATTAGCCCACTCAACAGCTGAGTTCTAAAATCTTTAGAACTAGAAAATATTAAAGCTAGCATGGCCTTAAGGATCATCTAACTCAGTGATTTTTTTTGTTTGTTTGTTCATTAACTTTGATTTACATATGCAATACTTAAATATATTCTCATTGTAAAAAAAATGCGTAACATGTAACAAAAATATTTGTACCCCCCCAAAAAAGAAAATAGAAATATAAAAAGAAAAAGAAATGCAATGTAGATAAAACTGAAATCACTTTGATCAACCTCTTACCCCCTCTGTTCTCATAGATAACTATTAAATTTGGTATAAGTCACTTTTCAGACCTCTTTCTATATATTTACATATAAATATACATTTATGTATATATCTACAGACATATCCTTAGAAAATCCATGATATTGATTTGTGGGTTTCCTTCACCAGTAAATGGTGTCATAGTGTTTATATTGTTCTACAACTTGCTTTTTTCCCCCTAGACAATAAGTCTGAGAAATCGCCCGTGTGAGCACCTTGTTCTGAGTATACCAAGTATACGTGACCATCCCCCTATAGGCAGGCAGGTTTTTGGCACTGCTGGACCATTATAACATTATAAGCACTAACTGTGCTTGGGCCGGGTCACCTGAGCACACCTGGGTAGGTGATGGGAATGGCTGGGTTACAAGTCAGTACAGGAGAAGGTTCACAGCCACTGCTAGATCACTCTCAAATGTGGCAGTACCTGCCTTCATTCCTCTCAAGGTGTCTGAGGCTATCCATTTCCCAGGCCTCTATTAGCACGTTTTTCCTGACCCACTGTATCTAGGGGGAGCGTATCTACCCCAGGTGCAGGGGCTTCGAAAAATGTTGATCGCCAGTAGCCAAAACCTTCTTCATCCTCATTTGTAAACAGGGAGGTGGAAGTTCCCACAGCTAGTCAGTGGTGGGCAGGAAGCAGGGCTCAGGGCCCCAAATGTTAGTACAGGAGTTTTTATATTGTGCTTTTTAATAAAAAGTCAGTTGCATGAAACCTACCTGTTGCCAATAAGGTGTGGCCTGATTCTTTTCTGGGTTTGGGGAAAAAAGGTAATTTTGACCCTGTGAAATACAACACCCTCTAATTCTGAAATACTTTGTTCCTTGACTGGTTTCTGTGGCTCGTGCCATGGCATCCAGCCAGGGGGTAATTTCCATTGGTAATCCTCATTGAATGGGGCTGGCTCCTGCCATTGGTGGCTTAGGGAGTGGCAGAGTCACTGTTTGAGAGAGGCACAGAGTGTCGGGCAGAGAGCAGGGCACCTGTGTCGACCGACACGCTCAGAAGAGCGGCTTGCTGACTTCTCAGAACACTGCCCACTTCCTGACAGTGGGGGTCAAAGGCTGTCCCTGCCACTCACAGCCGCTGGAATACGAGAAGAGACTGTGGCACTTTAATAAAGTGCAGGGATCGAAATTCAGAAGAACGTTTTAGATGTGCACATGTCTGCTGTGGGGATATTTATAACAGGGAAACATCAGTGGCAAGCTCGAAGTCTAACAGTGGAGAACAACAGGTGAATAGGTAGTAACAATAAACCCACACAGTGGATTATTACGCAACTAGTAATGCAGGTCAGAACTAACTTGTAAATTTTACAATTGTTTGATGTAATGCTTGTGATTAAAAAAAACATTTAAGTGACTTGGTCACTGCTGCTTGGAGTGTACTTAGGAAAACTTTTTTTGGAGGCCAACTTGGTAATTTCTAAATTTTAAATGTGATCCAGCAGTTGCATTTCCAAAAAAATACGTCCCACCTCAGATCTTGCACAAGTGCATAAAGATTTAGATATGAGAGAATGTTCGCCTCAGCACTGTTTGTACTAGGAAGTGTTGGAGAGAATCCAAATATCCATGAACTAGAAGTTAGACAAAGACCTTAAGGTACATTCCTACAATTATATATCTGGCAGCTGTGGAAAGGAAGTGAGTCCACCCAGCCAGTCTGTACATACGGCACAGAAAGATGTCCAAGATCCTGTGTTAAGAGGAGTAAGACGCAGAACAGCACACGTGGTGTGGGCGCATTGCTCTAAATACATCTTTGTGTTAACCAAGGCATAGGAAAAACTTGCAAAATGTCTACATCAACCATCAGCTGTGGTTTTCACAGGAAGCAGATTAGGAAGGACTCCTACTTCCTAGCCCAGAATTCTGCAGTGCTTGCAGTGTTTACATGAAGCAGACCATACTTGTGGAATTAGGGAAAAAAAAAAATCGAGATCACTAAATAAAGTACAAAGAACCATTGGCCTGTTCCGAAAGGATGGGAATTCCATTTTACGGTGTGGATTCCGATCGTATTACAAAATGCACATAAAAGTTCTGGCTAGGAACTAGTGCAAGGCATTGACTGTTGCTCTGATGGACGGCGCAGGGTGCGTTGGAGTTTTGTCTTCTGTGTTTTCCAAGTTTTCTCATTAAGCCTAAATTAACTTCCAAATTGGAAGAAAAGACTTACAGGCTTTGTTGATTGGACTTGCAGAGATTAGAAAGCCCCAGCAAGAGAGGCTTGGGCTGTGTGTGTATGTTGTGGAAGGTCCAGCCCCTCTGCTGAGCTGCGTCTGTTCTGAGCAGGGTCGCAGCACAGGGGCCCGGGCTGGGGGTGGGCGGGTGAGGGGCAGCCCTGGCTGGGCTGAGTTCCCGGGAAGCTGGACTCCCGCAGAGGCTGGGGCAGCTGAGGGATACTGGTGCTGGGCGGGTGGAGAGGTCTGGAATTGCTGTCCCTGTTTTTTTTTTTTTAATTTTTAAAATGTTTATTGTAGAGATGGGATCTTGCTATATTGCCCAGGTTAGACACAAACTCCTGGGCTTATGAAATGGGCTTTTAAAAACAAAAATGGGATTGTTCCATAATACAGTTTAGCAGTTTGCTCTCGTCTCATAATATGCCTTGGGCATCTTTTCCAGTTAATACTCAGAAAGCTCTGGTTCTCAACAGGTTTTGAAAGGTTGGGGGGGTAGTTTTGGTCATCACAGTGATGGGGATGCTACTGCACAGGTGGGTGGAGGCCAGGGATGCTGGCGACCCTGAGATGGGCGGGGCAGCTCTGCACGGTGGATTTTCCTGCGTCCCACAGGGCCGGGGAATGTCTCGTGGGAATCGGTTCACAGTGGTCCGAGTCTGGAGCTTGGTGCCATGACCCGTGTAAAGGCAACATGCCTTCGGCATGGTTCTGAGATACTCCGAGCTCAGCAAGTTGTGTGTGTTATCTATGGATTTCATGCAGGGCAGTAAAGCGAGGTGTCATGCAATATTTATTTTAAAAAGTGGGCACTGGATCTCCCTAAAAGAGAAATGTAGCCTTTCAGAATGCTGCTTAACCTTTTAAATGGATGTAATCAAAATGTCTTTAACTGATCCCCACAGGTGAACCTTTGGCTAAATTCGATTCTACATGATCACTATGACACTCTTATATGCTTGCGCACTTGTACTCATGTTTCCATAGGATCAATCCCTAGATAGAGCATTGGGTCTACATCTGCTGGGCCAAAATTAAGGAATGCATTTTTTTCCTATTTTACCACATTGCCGGATTGCCTTTTAGGAAAGATTTATACCCGTGATGATCCAGGAGGATGCTCATTTCCCTGCATCCTAGCCAGCACTCACTGAAGTGTTTGTCAATCTGGATGGGGGAATGCTGTGCTATTTTCATTCTCAACTTTCCAATTTCAAGTGAAACAGTGTCAGTTAAGATGCATCACTTCTGCCCACAGGAAGATCGTGCCTGTGAGAGCAAATAGGGTCTCTGTGGGGTATGTAGTTGTGTTCCAGAAAGAGTACTAGATGGGAGACTTGCTCTCTCACGGATGTCGTCTGTCCCCCCAGAAGAAACAGCAGGGCGGGAGGAGGCTGGGCCGCAGTGTCCCCAGGGCCCTGGTCTGGGCGTAACGCCGCCTTTTGCCTTCTGCAGGAAGCCTGGAAGCACGCGATCGAGAAGGCCAAGCACATGCCAGACCCCTGGGCTGAGTTCCACCTCGAGGACATTGCCACAGAGTGTGCGACGCGGCACAGGTCAGCAGCTTGTCCGGGGGCCTTAAGGAGTCTGGGAGGGTCCTGCTTCTGCTCACAATCAGTGAGGCCCCGGTACCCTTGGGGACTGGGAGAAGGGATTCGTAATGACAGCCCCCCGATATTGGAGTGCTGCTAGGTGTCATCTCACTGAAGCCTTCTCCGGCTCCTAGAAGGTACCTGTTAGACAGGCCGGCCGGGCTGGGCTGAGCTATATTGCAGTAACAAATACCCCGGGGGTACCACACAACTAAGGTGCATTTCTCACACATGCGAAGTTGGGTGAGAGGTGAGCAACTGTTCAGGGCAGCTGGGACCCAGGTTGCTTCCACCTCGAGGCTCAGTCATCTCAACACGTGATCCCACCAGTGCTCCCAGAGGAGAAGGTGGAGCGTGGAGGTAGCACATCAGCTGTTCAATGACTTGGCCCAGGAAATGGCATGACTTTTGCACGCAATCCATTGGTGAGATCTAGATACACAGCCTCACCTAGCTACAGGGGGGCTGAGAGGGGTACACTGCCCTCTCCACCTTTATACAATGTGTTCCTGATCCCACCCTTTGAAAAGATGGCTTTAGAGTCCCATATGGACCCCCTCTCCACTGCTGGAAGCTGTCCTCTTAGTGGAGTCTGTGGTCTGTGTCTGGCAGCTGCTGTCAGCATCATAAATGCCCCAGCAGGGCAGGATATGGGCTCCGTTCCTTTCTACCTGCGGGAGCACAGCAGGAAGTGGCTGGTGACACATGGCCTGAACAGTAGCTGGGATCTCAGACAAGGCCGAACTGTGTTTATTTCCTAACCAAAGTGCCTGACTTTAATTGCCTTGGCTGGCATTAGTGGGAGGCAGGGTATTGCTGGCTAGACTCTCCGGGGATTTTTAAATTGGAGGTTTCCTTGTCCATCCCTGGTTTTTTAAGAACTCTGGTGCAAGACAGATTTCCTGTTCATGTGGGTGGTTCCCCAGGTGATTAAGAGCAAGGTTCTGGTTCCAACCAGCCTGCATTTGGGCAGGTTACTTTACTTCTCTGGGCCTTAGGGTGTCCATCTGGAAAATGGGCACAGTAATTACAGCAATCTCATTGGTCTGCTGGGGGGGGGGTTGAATGAAGCAGTCCATTTAGGCACCCAGGGTAGAGTGAGTGCTCAGTAAACTTTGAGTAACTCTTACCTTTGTGCTGTTAGTGATTGTGAGTGACAGCTGAGACCCTTCCAATGTGCATTATCTCACCTGTCCCCGCTTCTGGGTGCCTCCCAGATTGCAGTCTCTTTTGGAAGTGAGGGATGATTATTTCCTTCACCTTAGTCTCTGTATAGTAATAATTGCTATTATTTATTAAGCACAGTACAGTTGTCTCTTGATCAACGTGGAGGTTAGGGCTACTGACCTCTCATACAGTCAAAAATCTGCATATAACTTTTTTATTTCCCTAAAAGTTAACTACTAATAACCTACTGCTGACCGTGCAATCAGAATTACATGGTACAGACCGTGTACAGATTACATGGTACAGACCGTGCTGTACCATGCAATCAGAACACATAAGAATGTGCCAATAACATACAGTCGATTAAAACATAAATCAGCTTATATCTACATATATTTTATGCATTCATGACATACCTAACTTTT